GAAACTAAACGTGTAGTGTAAATATGACACATGTAGGTTATTTGAAAGATATGTAACTGTGATCATTGAGACTTTCACATCTTCAGGGACATGAATACATTTTTTTTACTCACCTCCTGTGATGACAAGCTGGAAATCACATGGTTGAAAACTCGTGTCCAGTGCGCAGCTGTACCGTCCTGAATCCAACTTGTTCAGCTGTGTGATGCTCACGTGCACAATAGGAGTTATGAAATGATCATATTCAATGCTGTATCTGCCGCTCTGAGCTGTGTAATCAGCTGTTTCAATGAGAATGTTTCCTTTTTCACATTTTTCTTTGCAGAAAAATGTTTTTCTTCCAGGGATATAAAATGTGCATTTAACTGTGATGTTTCCTCCTTCCACTCCTTCATAGACGAGAGTTTCAGCGTTGGCAAGTCCAGTGTTTCCATCCTGCAGGTCTGTAGAAAATATGAACAATCAATTATTACCAACTTCCTGTAAACGCTGCAGTTTGATGATATTTTTATTAAATTAAAACAGATGATTTTTCAGTGTAATTCAGAACAACATTTTAAAGTAGTTCATTTAAATTCACTCTCTTTATATTTTTCATTTGAACAAAATCACCCTGCTTCTTCCTGACATCGACACAAGCCATCTGCTGCAGAACAGCTCAGCTCAGAGTTAAAAGTTTAAAAATTGACCTTTTATTTGTTTGTGATAAGAAATTGATCTGCTTTCAGGTTTTTGAAATAGTTGCTTAATATTCAGTTTTCAGTCTGTTAACATTTAAGCTGTGCTGTTCCTCTTGAACTTAGTAAAAAGGCACAAATAACGTTGTTGTCTTTTGCCCACAGTTACATTGCTGCAGTTTAGCTTTCACAGAAACGTGACTTACTGGCCAAGACCAGGACCTTTTATTCTCTACTGAAAGCCAGAAGTTACCTGGAAAACTTGAAGTGGCGGGTATGTCCTCATTCAAACAAAGTATACTGTAATTCTGTTACTGCTGCATCAAAATCATAGTATTATCCCACTGACTTGTGTGTAGTGAGGTATTTGAAAATCCACAGATAAAGAAATTAGATGATAGATAAATACATTTTGTAGAATTTGCTGATGAAAAATTGAACTTGTTTTGACATTAAAAAAAAAATCAAAAGCTTCCTTATAGTCATGATGTTAGCCTGAATTATATAAAACTCTGCATCAAATAGAACAACAAAGTAATTGCAGATGTTTATCCTAAGAAAGCAAAATTAAACTGAACCAGCCTTTTAAACATTCTGATGTGTTCGGGAGTATAGATTGCTGAATTAACGAGGTGCACCTAAAGCCACCATGAATACCGAACCCATATTGTAGCGTACAAAATGCTGAAGGCGCACAAACTTTTTTTAAGTGTGGATGTTGTGACCGCGGTTCAGTATCGAAGCATCCAGCTGTGGACATTCACTCACAGACAGCCTCTGCTTCTGCTTTCAGCACTCTTTAGTGTAGTGCAAAACCTGCAAACATTTTTAGAAATCAGAAATAATAAGAATTTACTTACAGAGGAAGATGGAGCAGAAGAAAATGTGACAGAGTTTCATCTCGAGGTTCTGACGGCTTAATGTTTAATGCTGCTTCTCTTACTTCTCTGTTTGGAAACAAGGAACTTCTAACTTCTCTTATCCTCGCAGTCCCTCCTTCAAATTCACACTCCTGCGCTTTGATGGTTTTTTTTCTACTACAGAGTCAAAGATTAAGTGTCCATTTATTTATGGGTTTCTTTTAAATCGTCCTTCAGAAGTTCCAGAAGTTGATTCTTTTGGTTTCTGGAAGTCTGACCTGCGTCTCACAGAGCAGACTTTTCAGACTTGATCAAATTCACTTTAATTTAGCTGTCTGGCTGTAGTCCAGTTTCGTGTGAAACCAAAAACACTGCATCATCTAAAAGCAACTCGACTACTAAAAAAAGCTTTGACACTGACAGAGAGGAAGTTTGGAGCCATCAAAATAGGAAATTTCAAACAAAAATGTATTCACTCACTTTATTACTCGATTGTACTGAGATTGGGTGATCGTGAAGATCATCTGAGTACAGTTAACTCACTTTCATCTTCAGTAAACAAGTTTGAAGTCATTTGAGTTTCGTGACACTGCACTTTATTTACTTGAAGGAACCATCAGATGGTAGGTACATTATGATCATAAAGCTGGACATGGTCAGCAAAAATAATCAGGTAGGTTCTCAGTTGGCCATATTGAATGTGAGTATTATAAGAATGTGCGTCTGACAGAAAATAAGAAAAAGCAGAACAGGTAAAAAAAATGTGGTGTTTCATCTTCTTATATGTGAGGGAATGAATTACAGAATACTTTGCGGCCATGACCTGTTGTAAAGTTTGAGTTTCAGGGTAGAAGCAGAAGTTGTATTTAAGATATAGAAAGTGAACGCGCATTAAGGAGAAGTGGGCTGTGTAGCCTGTGCTTTGTAAAGTTCAAACGCACATTTTTGTTCATCTTTTCTGTAAGAAAATTGTCACTTGTTTGAGACATAACGCCCTTATTTATAAATGGCTCTGACAACCCAGTTGATTTTAAAGTGTGCTGAGGAAACACATTGTAACTGATGTTGCTGGATGTTCACTGGATTCCTCCATCAGAGGTCAGAGATACAGAGGTCATACATACGAATGAAATGATGGCAGCTCATTAAAGGCTATGTTAGAATGTTTCAGTAAAATCAAAGCCTGGATGGCGTTAATTTTAAACTTCAGTGACAGCAAAACTAATTCCACTTATCTCATGGGGACAGTAGCCTAAGCAAGGAAGCCCAGACCTCCCCAGTTACCTCCAATACGGGGGAACACCAAGGCGTTCAGGCTGACAGATATAATCTCTCCAGCATGTCCTGGGTCTGCCCCGGGACCTCCTCCTGGTGGGATATGCAGAACACCTCACCCAGGAGGTTGTATATGTCTGAAATAAAGTTATAATAATAATAATAATAATAATCCTTGTCAGATGTCTGAACCACCTTAACTGGCTCCTTTTGATGTGCAGCAGTCGCTGTACTCTGAGCTCCTCACCCTATCTCTAAGGGGGAGGCCAGCCACTTTTCTGAGAAAGCTAATTTCTGCTGCTTGTATCTGCCATCTCTTTTTTTCAAACACTACCCAGAGCTCGTGACCATAGGTGAGGGCAGGGATGTAGATCAAGAACTTTGTCTTTACACTCAGGTTTCTCTTCACCATGATGGACCAGTATGGTGTTGGCATCACTGCAGCCACAACACCAATCTGTCAGTGGATGTCCTGCTATCCTCTGTCTTCACTTGTGAACCAGACCTCAAGAACTCCTCCACTTGGGGCAATAACTTGTTCCTGACCCGGGGTGGACACTCCACCTACTTCTGACTAAGGTGTCCTAAGACTTGGAGGTGCTGATTCTCATTCACGCCGCTTCACACTCAGCCCCTCTCTTCACCAGAGTCCAGAACATACAGCTGCAGATCTGCTGATACAATTGTAAAATCACTGATCAAACATGGTCTTTGTTATTGATAAACTGTGGTTTGCACAGAAATTCAGTAACAGAACACACTGTTCCTCTCAATTGGGCCCCTCCAGGTTACATTGTTATTGCCTACATGAGCACTGAAGTCTCCCAAAACGATGGGAGTCACCAGATGGAGCACCCCAGCCTGGGACTCCAAGAAGCCCGGCCATTACCTGACCAGAGGTTTCAGGGAACCCTCTTGTCTACAGGGAGAAACACCAACGTATTGGTAGCAAGCCAAGGGGATACTGGGATATAGTCCAACCTCTTTCCAGGAGACTGGACTTATCCAAGGTTTTGAAACTCATCTACCTTCACTATCTCTGCTGTGATTAGATGAAAATTGTGTTGTTTAAACTAATTTTAATTTCCATTTATTATAAGAGAATTTGAAGCAACATGTGTTGGCTTACCGTCTGCTGCTAAATTGTTTTGCTACATTGTGCAACATCAGCTACAAGCGATAATTAAACACTTTTCTTCTATGCCACTTCTGCATGAGAACTTATCTGACTCAACAGCACAACCTTGTGGGGGAAATTGTGTAGTGCACACCTTAAACTTTGCAGGTCAGGCCAGCCCAGGCAGGGTTAAACTGACAGTTTTCATTGTCAGTTTTTACATTTATGTTAGGCTACTTTTGATTAACTGCTTTAGCCCACTTACAATGAAAATTTAAAAAAATCTTATTCATGACCTGTGTAGTATGTAGAACTCCAATTTCGAAAACACAACTTTCTTTTCTTTTTATTTTTTTTTTATAAAGCTCTGACTTGTATTATGAGTATGAGTTTGTGGTCTGGGAGAGAGTCCTGTAACTCTGTCTGCAAAATACAGTATATAATGACCAATGCTGGGCAGTTAATTATATAGTTACTTTTTCAAAAAAGTTACTGAGTTTGGCAAACAACAAAGTTTTTTGCAGCTATTTTTTTTAAATGCAGCCAAGGCATTTTTAAATAAACATTTCAAACTATTTACAGAACAATCAGCTGTTCTGCATCAAATCTGATGCCACACAAATTATTTGTGCCACTCCAAAAATAATTTCTGTCCACTATGAGATAAAGGAGAACAACAGCCTGATACCTGCA